AAAAAAAAAAACAATTTCAAATGTTCAAAAGATCTGAATAGATATTTCAAGGAAAATATACAAATGGGTAATCAGTATATGAAAAAATGCACAATAGCATTCATCACAATGAACATGAAAATTCCACACTGCACCAATCAAATATATTTTTTAAAAAACCATGAGCAAAACATACTGCCCAAATTTGCACAGGCTATGAACAGTAAGAAATAAAATTGTCAAATTTTGTATTTCAATAAAGGCTTGTCATCAATCAAAAAGACAGAATATAATAAGTGTTGGTAAAGATGTACAAAAACTAGAACCCTAACACACTGCTGGTGGAAATTTAAAATGTTACAACCACCATGGAAGCCTGGTAGGTCCTCAAAAAATTCAAAACTGTCACTATTGACAATTCTACTCTTAGGTAAATACATTCAAGGAAAATAAAACCACAAAAACTTGTTCACAAATGTTTTGAACAGGATTATTCATAACAACCAAAGGGCAGATACAACTCACATGTCCATCAGGGAATGGATAAGTAAAATGTGGTATAGCCATACAGTAGAATGTTATTCAGCTAAAGGTATAATTTGCTAGTGTGAATGAGTCTATCTTCAATCCCCAGAACCATGTGTATGCACAGGAACACACACACATCACCAGATACTGTGGCACACACTACAATCCCAGCTACTGGGGAAGCAGACCACAAATTTGAGACCATTCTGGGCAACAAGTCTTAAAGTGGCAGGTGGAACACATCTGTAATCCCAGCACGCAATAGGCTAAGGCAGGACTGTGTTGAGCTCAAGGTCAGCCTGGACTATACACTGAGATTGTGTCTCACAAAACAAAACAAACCAAACAAAAGTCTTATTTTTTTTTTTCTGGCTAAAAGTATACAATATACTATTTTCCAAATTGCACTTCATCTACAGTAGGGGTTATTAAACTTTGTCTGTAGAGCCAGACATCCAATATTCTAGGCTGTGCAGGTCAAAAGTTTTCTGTTGCAACTAACTACTCGTCTCTGCCAGTAGCCACAGTATGGCTATGTTTATATACATCTTTTTTTGACAAAAATAGGTGGCAGGCAGGACCTCTGATGTAAAGAATACACAATCTTCCTGAGTCCATACCAACACTCCATAAGAAACAAGGGTAACAGTGCTTCTGAGGTGGCAAAGACCACACAATGTCTTGTTTAGGTGATAAACAACTTGTGGATGGTGAGCTAAGACTTCTAGACTTGACCTTGGGTGTTTTCATTCATTTAATATGCTGCTTCATCTCAGCACCCCCCTCGAGCAATCAATAGATCTCTGAAGAGATGGTACAGAGCTTGAAGGCCACAACAGCCTCACATAGGTCTCCCTGCAGCACCATCTCCCCCTCCAACAACTCAGTGACCCCTTCATACCCTCCTCCCCTTTCAATAGCATTCAATATAGCATTGTCATTCCCAAGAGAGCAGTTTAATCAGTTTGCCAGGAAGTCTTCTTCAAGGACCCACTTAGGGGCTTCCCAGGGCTGTGATGATAGCTCAGTGGTCTGAAGCGCCTGCTTAGGCAAGCACAGGGACCTGAGTTCAATGCCTGGCACCACATGCCACCCCCGCCCTGCCCATGGGTGTGCTGAGTTGGCCAATAAGACCCAGCGTGGTGGAGCACAGCTGTAATCCCAGCGCTGGGGAGGCTCAAAACAAGAGGATCACTATGAGTCAGAGGTGTGTAGTAAGACCCTGTACCAAATACATTTAAAAAAAAAAAAAAAAAGATTTAATCTTCCATCACTCCAAAGACACATAAAAATCTCACAACTGGTTAAGGTCTTTGTAGAACACAAGGTCTGATATAGGTATCCCTTTTCTCACTCTGCCTCACTCATTCACACACACATGCCTAGAGCTTACAGTATAAACTAGAAGTATATTGTGGACAGCAAAGGAATTTTGTAGATTAAGTGTCATCAGGTGAAAGCAAACACCCATTCACCTACATTAACCCTCTGCTTTTGCCAGGTTGGTGAACCTTTAGTATGTACCTTTTGCTTGTACTCTCCCCAGGATGCCCCCTCCCTCCCTTCCTTCCTCTTTCTCACACCCCTTCCTCATTTATTTGAGAGGAGGTCTCACCAAGTTGTTCAGGCTGACCTCAAACTTCAAGGCTCAAGTGATCTTCTTGCTCCCACCTCCCCCACCCTGGTAGCTGGAACTACATGTGCGCAACATCACACCCATTTCTTCCTTTTTACTGGCTCTTCATGCTCTACCTCTAGCACTCTCACTTGGTTCCCTGCTGCACCCAACCTCCTTCCCTATTTATATAAAATTATGGAATTTGCTTTGTCTTGAACCCTGCCTCACCCACTCTGAACTGCACAGCCAAAAGAATCCTCAGCATGAACACAGAACTTCAGTCACTGAAGAAAATGAAGTAGTTATGGGCCCAAGATCACAATCCTCACAGGTCCATCCAACACCAGATCCCAGAGCTGTATTCCTGTTACAATGCCAAACTGCCTGGTGAGTTCTGAATTTTCTAAAGTGGGTAGTGTCATGGCAAGGTCTTTCACACCTTGCTGTCACTTCTGGACATGCATTTACCTACTATTCATCCTCCTCCCTACTGAATTCTCATTCATCTATCAAGGCCCAAGTTAAAATGCTCTTTTGTCCAAGATCCTTTGTAGATCCTGAACCCCCACGATGGAAATGGATGCTATTTTGTGTTCTTATAGGCTTCTTTGTAATTCCTTTATAACAGTATGTATTATTATAAACTATTGTTTGGCCAGGATAATGTAACCTGCATTTGCCAGTGAATATCATTCAGCTAGGGACTGTATAAATCTTCAAGACCACTATGCATTTTGTCCCAGCACAGAAAAACTAACTAAATGGCAGGAAAATGTCATTATTTTTCATTCATTGAAGTGAATCTCTTATTCTTACCCTAAAGTCTCTCTCCAGGAGCAATGAAAGAGCCACTAGCGTTTCTGAGGCTTCATCACAGCTATAGGTGGCCAAGGAGGCATGGTGTCAACTCCCACTCAGGAAAGGTTCCAGAGAAGGCAAGAGTGCTGCAAGGTCATTAAGACTGAGTGCTTGGAAACCCGCAGACAGTGCACGAAATGGGAGTTAAAGCCGGCCAGGTCTTGTGCTGGGTACTGGGGACACAAAGCAGTAGTTTACCCTCTGCCCTGTGACCTTGGAAATCCCGATCTGGAGCCCGAATTGCTCCTACTGAAAACATGGAAGATACCTGCTTCCCTCGCTGAAAAGAGGAATGCTCTAGGTTTTGAGAAAAACCGAACAGGCGCCACTGTACTATGCCCTGACTTCTCCGAGTCCCCTCAGGTCGACCCTGCCCAGGGCTTCACTTTACCACCTACAACGGCCCTGAATAACCTCATGGGCCTGAACCCTGCCTCACCCAGTCGGAACAGCACGGCCGAAACCCATTGCTTAGTTCAGCCCGGCTTAGCCTCCGGCCAAAAGGTAACGTGTCCAGGCCTCACCTGTCGGGGGCGCGTAGGCCCGGGCCAGACACTGGGGGACCAGCCCCAGCCTGGCGGAGGAGGCGGCACGGTCAGCAGGGGGACAATTTAGGAGGCGGCGCCCGCGGTCCCGCAGCCTAAGGCAGCTCCGCCACATCGCGCCGGCGGACTGGGAGCACGCGCGCGGTGAGAGACCCCAGCACAGGAAGCCGCACGCTCGAGCTGTACGGAAACCTCACAGCGCCACCCCACAGCCTCACGCTCCTCTGGCCGCCGCCATCTTTCTCATGACACCTACGGTGCGCCGTCGCAGCCGTGCACCCCGGCGCACACCCCCAGTCAATCAGCATCACAAATGAGCATCGCCCCGCCCCTCCACGCCGCTCTCGGCAAGAAGACTACAAATTCCAGAGGCCTTCTCCCGCGCGCCGCCACGAGTTTTCTCCGTTCGCCAATGGGCGGAAGCGCCGCGTGAAACTGATCCCGCCCCCCGGGCGCGCCCGAGCCAATCGGAAGGAGTGGTGTGTATGCGAGGACAAGTGGGGAGGGGGACCCAGCTCAGGACTGGGAGGCCCTTCTCGCAGGTCCCGGGGTCCCGGTGGTGGCCCGAGCGCTAGGTCCGCGGGCAGCGGGCGGGTGGCCGGCCCTCCCGTCCCCACCTCGCGCGTGCGCTCCCCGACGCCTCCCTCCCGGCCACCCTCTTCGGCTCCCGCGCGGCGGCAGCGGTTCCTCTCCCCCTCCCCCTAGCCCTGGCTCCGGGGGACCCCGCGATGCCGGTCCGCACGGAGTGTCCCCCGCCGGCCGGTGCGTCTGCCGCCTCCGCGGCCTCTCTCATTCCGCCGCCGCCTATCAACACCCAGCAGCCCGGCGTGGCCACCAGCCTGCTCTACAGCGGCTCCAAGTTTCGCGGCCACCAGAAGAGCAAGGGGAACTCGTACGACGTAGAGGTGGTGCTGCAGGTGAGCGCCGAGCCGGGCCGGGCCGGGGCCCGAGGGCCTCCTCGCGGCGCTCACGGGCCGAGCCCGCCCTCGGCTCCTCGAGCCCGAAGCCGAGGATCAGGCCCTCGCTGCCGAGGCCTCCTGCACCGGCGCCTCCCACCCGGGTCCTGCCCGGCTGGTGTCTCACACTCTCAGAGCCCCAGCCCTGACCTGGCCCCCGGACCCGGAGCCTGCAGTAGCCGGCTCCTGACTAGCCCCGAATACTGTTCCAGAATTGAAACCCCTAACCCGTCCGTCCGTCCGTCCGTCCGTCCGGGATCCGGAAGCTCCCCTCCCCATGACTGGCTGTGCGTTGGCGTGGGTTCATCCACCCCAAGACCTGTTCCCCTTACACCAGTCCTCCCACCTCCTACCAGTCTCTCCCTCTCAGACCTGAAGGACTGTTGGTTTCTCCGGACTCAGGACCCTCCTTATGACCGGGTCCGTTTCACATTCCCAGACCTGAGACATAACCCTACTCTCAGTGACGGGGCCCTTCCTCCTCCTGGGGAGACTGAGCAGCCTCCTCTAAGATTTAGAAACACACTGCCTCCATTGGTTGAGACACCCCTCCATTCTAACCATCTCTGTCTCTAACTCCCCCTGAAAACCAGATACTTGCACCTTGAGTGCTAGAGTGGAACTGTTAGTATCCTGCTTCCTGGGTCCCCGCCCCCCAGAACCACCGTGCTTCAAACCTGGTCCAGAAGTCCACATGCCCAGTTGCCTCCACACCAGCTCTCCTGCCCCAGGCTTCTTATACTCCTTTCCCTACACTGTGGCCCACTTGCCCTGGCTGTAAGTCTCCCTGGCCTCTTCCTAGACTTCCTCGCCCAGTATCTTCATCTAGCTTACTGGATCAAAGGGTTCTTTCAGTTTGCTTAACTTTTATCTACACAGGCACAGGGCTTCCTCCCAATCTCTGATACCCATATTCTGGGAAATCCAATTTAACCCAGTTTTATTTTGTGTCCCTTGACCTCCCCCTGTTTGACCTGGATTTCTGAGTACCCGCTGCCAGTCTCTGATCAGCTTTACAACTACCTGTTGGGGTCTTTTCCTGTACCTCATTTCTCTCACCCAGATGGTAGCACACTTGGCCCTTTTTCCCAGCCAAAAGAGTTGACAGTGAATATTTCTTTTTATCTCCCTTTCCCACCAAACTGTTCCTCAGTTTTTTACCTTCCCTGCCTTTGGACACACTTTCCCCTTCCTTTTGCTTGTTTTTTCTGGCACCACTTCCCCAGAGTTCCTCCAAACACCTGTGTGTATAAAGGGCTTCTGGAAGCTTAGAAGTCCTGTATGGTGCCTCTTGCTTCCCTGTGTGAGGGTGAAATGTACGTTGTGCTTGTTCATGATCATCTTTTGTCTTTATTTTATTTTTTTTTTTTTACTTTAAATATTACTCTCTTCTGAACAAGTAGTCCTGCCCTCCCAAAGACAATGTAAGTGATCTTTTCTTTCTGCTAAGTGGAAAGCAACCCAAGTCTTTTTTTTTTTTTTTTTTTCTCACTGACTTGTGGGGTTTTCTCTCTGGTTTTGATGGGCATCCTCACATTAACTCTATTGCTGATCTATGAACTATGACCTATTACATTTATTGCAACCAAAAAACTATGACTGATCGTTCCATCCTCAAAACTGTATGACTAACATGATGATGCTTTTTTGGTTTGTTTTTTGCTTCAAATGTGAAAATCTAACAAAGATTAGTTTTGTTTGTTTTTCAATTGAACTATTCATAAAATTTCAGAACTGAGATTCCTGGGTCAGTCATGTTTGGAATTATCCTAGGTTTGTACCTGTTCTGATGGAGTAAGGTAGTTAGGTGTTAAAGGGAAGTCTGCCTTGGTTATTGATACTACTCTCTTCTGTCATTAGTGTGTTATTTCTGAACTCTTGGCAGGTACTAGTCTCCTTGTGAACCAGCAGGAGCAGTGATTAAGTTGTATCACATCTGGTAGGTGTCAGGAAGCCCAGAGCAGAAACCTGGTCAGTGGTGGAAGCCACTTAAGTCTGATTAGGGGAGCAGGAGAGTCTTGGCAAGGAATGCTGCCCTACATCTGGATGGGTGATCTCCTTCTTCATCATTGTACCTAGTCAGAGGCTTATGGATTGCCCCATCATCTGGTTTTTCAGCTAAGACTAGTTTCTTAGACTCCCTTCTCTTAGATTATTTCTCTTGCCTTTCATAATGGAGCTTCCTTCCTGCTTTCTCTCTTTCCTTTTAAGCATCTTTTTTGAGGTGTAATTCTCGTACCATATTGTTTGTTTATTTTTGTGTGTGGTACTGGGGACTGAGTGAGCCTTTGCAGTCAGCTGCACCCTCAGCATTTTTTTTTTTTTTCTTTTTTGAGACAGGGTCTCATTAACTTAGTAAACTGCCCAACTTGCTGTCCTACCTCAGTCTCCCAGAGCATAATTTATATATTCAAGATGTACTCCTCAGTAGTTTGTATTCGTAGAATTGTGCATCACCATAGCCCAATTTTAGAACATTTTATCACCCCAAAAAGAAACTTTAATATCCTTTAGCTATTACCCACCTCCAATCCTAGGCAAATGCGAATTTTATTTTTTTTTTTTTTCTAATTTAAAATAGCCCAATCTGGCTTTGTCCTTTTGTGACTGGCTTCTTTGACTAGGCATAGCTTTTTCAAGATTTATCTATCATTCCTTTTTATTGTTGCATTATCTGTTGTATGGATATACAGCACTTTATCTATTGATTGGTTCATGGCCCTTTGAGCTTTTTGCCATATTTTGGCTATTATGATTAATGCTGTGAACATTTGTGTATGTTTGTTTTTGAGATGGGGTCTTTTTGCATTGCTCAGGCTGACCTTGAATTTAAGGTTAAGCTTAAGGTTACCTCAGCTTCCCGAATGCTGGGACTACAAATACATAGCATGCCTAGCTTATGTACAGGTTTTTACATGGATATGCACTTTCACTTTTCTTAGGAAGATAGATACGTAGTAATAGAATTGCTGTGCTACATGGTAACCCAGTGTTCAACATTTCACTCAGCTGCAGGTGATTTCTGAAGTGGGTGCTTCCTTTTACATTTCCACCAGCAACATATTAGGGCTCCAGCTTTTCCATAATCTTGCTGTTGTTCATCTTTTGTTTGAAGCCATCTTGGTGGATGTGAAGTAGTGTATTGTTGTAGTTGCTAATTTGAATTTCTCTAGCACATCTTTTCATAATATGCATATTTTCATGTGCCTTTTGACACTTTCTGTTTTGACATTTAAGTATAGGTTTTCAAACCTTTGTGGGGTTTTGACTACCACCTCCCATTACTTTGACTACTCTTTCCCCTTCTACAACCGCGGAAGCCACCAGCAGAATGATCCCTGGGTCCCTGTGAAAGGAATATTAAGAAGAGCAGCTGTTGGACACAGCTGTGCTGTGAACCCTCTTTGCTAAATGTTTGCCTTATCTTTCTCATTGAGATGCTGGCCCCTCATTTGCTTAAGGTTGTATATGGTGTATGCATTATGAGTTCACCAACTATCATCAAACTCACTGTGGGCAGGATGTAAGAGATGGTTGAACAGAGGCCAAACAAATTCTGATTCTTGAGTATGTGATAATACATGCAAATTTGAGCCAATTTGCAGTTCAATTTTTAATCTTATTAGCCGGTATGCCTGCTAACTGATACCCTTTCTGGGAACTGTGAAACCCCAGACTTCATTGAATTCAATGAGAATTGCACACATAAAATTTAAGGCCTCAGGTTAGAACGATGTGTCCTTTAATAAAAGTACTTTGCTGAACCATTTTAGTGTGGGTCAGCTGTTTTCCATACTGTCCAATGCCAAGGTCAGCAGATGAGGACATCTAAAATACTTAGGCGGTTTTTGCATGGAATACCCTCGTCACCAGCACCAAGCTTTATTAGCTTCGTGGCAGCCAGATTTCTTTGGTGCTGACATCATCTGACTAAGTTCACAGCTTTTAACGACTGCCTTATATTTGATTCATGGTGTAAATGGAGTAGTCGAGTTTCCAAATCCAGTAAATGCCACAGGACCTTTCTAGTTTGCTGAAATGAGACCTCAGTTAACATAAAAATCTGTGTGGTACAGGTACCACTGATTTTTTTTTTCTTTAATTCATAGGTTAGTATTCAGAGTTTCCAAGTTCATGACACAGATTCACTTTAAATCATGGACTTGGAAACTGCCTTTTTTAGTATGTCAGTAGATTTGGGTGAAAGATACTAGTAAAATATGATTTCATCTGCAAGGAACCATATTTTACATTTCAAAATAGCTTACAAAGTAATTGAACTTATTACCTTATATTACAAGGAGTCTAAAGGTG